GGCTCAGACTCCTGGTTGTCACCAGCAGCGAGAAGGCCAAGAAATCGCTGGCCCGCACAGGGAGGGTTGCAATATATTTAGTTCTTAATAAACTCCCTGCCTCATTCCTAAAAAGGAATTGAAGCGCTGCCCATAATTACACAGAGAACAGGGACTGTCATCCTTATTCACGGCTGGAATCTTATTTAGTGACCAAATGAAGACATTTGTAATTTCTATATTTATGGATCAGGGTCCACGTGTACTAATAAGGCCATTTTCAGTCATCCTGGGATCTTTCCTGGTTCCTAAGAGCCTTCACTCCCTGTTCATTCTGTTTACTAAGATCCTAGAATCAACCGTAAATATGAAACATTTTCCCGTCTTATTATCAGATAAAGACGAATTCAGCGGCAGAGTTGTAAGTGCCCATTTGTTTTGACTTTTCTTCCAACAGACTGAATGCCTTTTGATTTCTGAGGAAGGAGCTGACAGCCATGTTCATTTAACTCTTTCTCGAAAATAGAGCCAAACAGGGAACAAGCCCATAGACAAGGCACTGTGAGAGTCGATGCAGTGATGCCTGCTCTTAAAAAGGCTGTCCTGTTAGTACTTCATCTAATCCTCATTCAGCATTGAACTTTCATTTTAAAAAACAAAGTGCTCAGCTGAATCGAACTGTTAACCAGAAGGTGGACAGAATGTCTATGTGAGGAGAGGCAAGAATTACTATGATGGAAAGTGAGTGGAAATGGTGATTAAAGGTGAAGACAGGGTACAGAGAGTAGAGCCTGCAGAAAAAGAAAGTCATCACACCACAGTGGGGAACTAGGAAGGAAGAAATGGGGTGAAGGGTAAAAGGAAGGTGCTGGATTTGCACTCTGGAGCTGAATGGCACCCCCATTCTGAAAAGCCAGCTGCAGCTAGGACTTCCTTTGGGGAACACCAGGCCCTGTGGTCTGGCACGCTGCTTCCTAACAGCCTGGCACTTGGGAAGTATCCCAGATTCCACATTTACAGCCCTCAATAAAGCAATAGTCGAGGATTGCACCTCCTCCTAAGATCAGATCTGATTATCTCACTTAAAACGCAGCTTAACAACTGTCATAAAATTTTCAGCATCTTCTTGACATCATCATCTAATGGGCTTCTGACTCGATCTTTTAAAGCTGATTTGTTTTTTATTTATTTATTTTTTTAATGCTGTAAGTAAAGGAACCGGCATGGTTTGAGGGAACGCTAGTGGATGCTTTGTAAAAAGATACCTGAAGGAGACACTGAGGCCCAGTTCATGCAGCTGCTCAGAGCAGTCAGGGGCAGCAGCCAGCAGCCCAGATCCCTGCTGGGTCCCCCTCCACCTCGGCCAAGCTCGCCTCCAAAGCTCCCACCCAGTACTCCCTCCAGAGGACAGGAGCCAGCTCACTCACACACACACACACACACACACACACACAC